CCCCCACTTTTAATCTGAACGATTTATTTTCCATAATTCATTGTCCAAATAATTAAGTAGTTACCTGGCAATAAACAATTTGTCGTTAATTGAATACACACTATGAATACTTCAATGCGTCATTAGCAAAATCGCATGCATCTCTGACCAAAGAATGATCTCAGCTGGGCCGACGCGCGAAAGGAGAGTGGACGCGCTTCCCAGCTTCCCATCGTCGTCGTTGCAACTTTGTAGCCGCGCGCGGTCTTCACGTTTCGACACCGGTCCCGCCGCCGTAGGAACGGTTATTGTTGTTTTTCGCAATCTGCCTAAGTGCCTCCACCCCCTCGAGCCACATAAATTCGCTTAATAGCAGCGCGGAACGAGCAGTTAATTTCCTTGAAATGTTACCGTTTAAAAGACGCCGCGGCTCGTCCCCACTAAGAAAGTTTCTTTTACTCTTCTGCTCCGGTTAGGACGACGATCAATTATGAAACGCCCTGAGTCGTTACGAATTGCCAAACGAGCGAGCACAGCCGTCAATTGCGGGGCCCGACAACGCTGCAGGGTATATTTTAGCAATTTGACGAGACGACATTTTGGCATCAACAGTAGTTTTCATTTTAACATCAATTTTTATGTCAATCTTTTGTTGTTGATACTGGTAGTGAACAATATATTATTTGATCTGATATGCACTTTTGAAATTGTTCAATGTTAATATCCATTTTTACGTTAATTTTGGACCATGTGAAATCATTTTATATCTTAGCGGTTTGGCAGGCAACATTGAGGGCATCAACAGTATTTTTCATTTTAACATCAATTTTTATATCAACCTTTTTGTTGTTGATACTGCTAGTGTATAATATATTATTTGATCTGATATGCACTTTTAAAATTGTTCAATGTTAATATTCATTTTTACGTTAATTTTGGACCATATGAAATCATTTTATATCTTAGCGGTTTGGCGGGCAATATTGTGGCATTAATGGTATTTTTCACTTTAACATTAGAGATCGTTCTGTTATTTGAACAAACTGGCGAGATAAAATTGTTGTATCAACGATAGTTTCAATTTTGACATAAATTTTATTCTTTCTGTTAATAGTACTAAAAAAATAACATGAATTTAGCTTAGATGTACGTATTTTTTAATATTAATGTTAATGTTTAATGTTAATTGTAATTTCAATATTAATTGTTGATTTAAATGTTGATATGTTGTGTACATATACATATTTTTTTACATGATTTAACATTTATACATAAAATGAAAGAAGAAAAATAATGTTGCAGAGTAGAATATCGTATAAAAATCATTTTTACAAAATTCAAAGGAGAAATTTATCAAAAAATGTTGAAAGAATTTTTAAGAACACTGTCACATTATTTGCGTTCATTTAAAGCTATTAAAAGATAAAATACATTTTTATTTAACACCATTTTCTTGCGATTACTGATCCAAATTTTTATTTTGCATAAAGATTCGCTATCCAACGATTAAATGTACAGGGTGTCCTATAATTATAATACTTCCAGGAAATTAGAGATTCCTGAAGTTATTCGAAGCAACTTTTTCCTTTACAAAAATTTTCTCCGAGGCATCGTTAACGAATTATTAACGAAAAACGCTGACCAATGAGAGGCGAGCTCGGCTGGCACGAGAGGGCCCAGCCAACGAGCGCACGAAGTCCAGTTCCGCTGATTGGCTCGGCCACCTAGCGCCAGGCGAGCTCGCCCCTCATTGGTTATTGTTTTTCGTTAATAACTCGTAAACGAAGCTGCGGATTGCATTTTCGCTAAGGAATAAGTTACTTCAAATCACCTTAGAAACCCCTCATTTCCCGGAAATACCATAATTCTGAGACACCCTGCGTAACGTTATGAAGTTACAATTTTTAAACCGAAGTTTCAAAACATTTGATTTAAGTGCACGTTTTAGAACGTTAAATATATAACGCTATACTATTCATATAAAATACGACGATGGATCGTTATCTAAATTCGGTAACGTTCACCTAAATTGCTGAAATAACGACGCCGGAGGCTTGCCTAACATTGTGGCTGGCTCGACAAAGTTCAATGTTACTTATAAAATCGGCTTTAACCCAGATCCGGTGATCTCTCGCAACCCTTGAATTCTCTGTGGAACGTTCCGAGAACGAACGGATGTGGAAATCGAAGAAAGGTTGAGCGGATCGAGGATCTTATGATCTATTAAAACCAGATCACTTCGCACCTTCGTTGGATAGTCTTACGATAGAGCAATTTGTTTCTTTTCTTGTCGCTACGCCTCCGTCGACATTTGAACTCGGCTTTAGATCGTATCTTTGTTTATTTTGCGTAAATGTTTGAATATTTGACTGTCCAAAAAGTTTGAATAACTAAATAACTGAGTATTAGACAGAGCTCGATAAAATAGTATATATATTTCAAATGGCAAATAATAAATAGATATTTTATTTTAGATCACGTGTGTATATATCTTAGAAAATAAAATATTTTATTTGTTCGAAAGCGTGTACTTTTAAAGTAAAATATTTTACTCGTTGTAAACAATTTTTAAGACATTATTTTACAATTTTAAGACATTTTAAGACAATTTTAAGATAGTACCCAAGTGCTTACAGAAAACTACAACTCAATTAACGAGCAACAACTCAATTAATGAACAATATTTTACAAAAAGATATTTAACATTATATTTTTTTTTTAATGAAAGATCACTTACCTGGTCGTAATCATTGTCATTCCCATTATCATAATGATGATTGCCATGGTTATCGAAGCCACCGTTTCCACCATTCGACGATCCATGGTTGTTGTTGATGTTGTTGTTAATATTGTTGTTGTTGTTATTGTTGTTGTTGTTGCCAGCGTAATTCCCTGGGACGCCATATTGATTGCTTAACGGAGGCTCGCAGTGGGCAATGCTTATGCTCACTATCACAGCGAGTGATAACTGCAAGTATAAATTTCATATATATAATATAATACATATAATATAATATATAATATAATATAATATATATAATATAATAATATATAATATATATAATATTATATAATACAATTATTGATTACTCAATTTAATCATGTGAAACAATGAATTTAAAAATTTTTCACTTTTTCGACGAGAAATCAAAAATTGAATAATTTCCAACCAAAAATATCTATATTTACATCTATCCATAAATCTTCTAAATATGATCAACTTCGAGATTTTTTTCTGAAGTAACTACAAAACATTTCGTTGCGCAACCTTTTTCAACACCTCCAAACGAACCTCGAGAATTCACGAAAATTTTTATACGAACGCTTCAGCAAAGCTGCACTTGTTATAAACAATCAAGCGCGCGCCTAGAAATTCGAACATCTGAATAAACCGCGCAATGCAATCGATCTTTGGGAATTTTGTTTGAAAGCAAACCGTTCGATGAGAAAATTTGATATCTTTTTAGACGTATTAGGATATAATTCGAGGATGTGCAGGATTATTTTCGAGCGAAAATATCAAGCCAATCGAAAGTTGCAGCAGTTTGATCTTACGTTGCCTGGACTCTCGAGAGTTTCGCCGTAAAAACGATCATTTGTATCGGTGTTCGCAATCTGAGCAAGAAGTATCGTTCAGCGATTAGTCTTAGACGCATCCCCGCAATCCACCGAGAAGCTGTTGCCGAAATCTGTTTTATTGTTGCGCCAGAGCACCGCAGGATACTATAGCAAACGTGTAACAGATAGATTCCCAGGCGTGAGGCTGATGCGTCGCTCGAAAGCGAGATGATCAGACCGTTCGCGTTGCGTACCCGAGAAATTAGTGTTTTCCAGCGTCGTGAGAACGTGTGTTCGCCGTTACATAACCGAGACCGTTTAAAACCGGCGCAACGACGAGCCTGACAGCGAAAAAAATCGCGAGGAAGGCGCATCGAACGAACGATTTTCATTGAGCCGCCGCCCGCGTTCTGCGACTGTCGATTTTTTTTCGGCGAAACTGCCAAACGCACGAGCCCTAAACTTTGTCGGTCTGTTTGGAAACCTTTAAAGTACTCATGGAAATTTTTCCACGTATCGATAATGTTTCTGTCCGAAGTTACGGTGATTTTATCGTGGAATTTTTGGAAAAAGCGCTTGCATCCGTTGTGGACGATAAAATCCGCCATTTTGGTTCTCGAAACTTAAAAAATCAGAGGAATTATGTTAAATTGTGTTAGATGGATAGTTTCGATCCAAATAAAATTTAGATTTTGAATTTAAGTGAATTTTCGGCTGAAGAAAGTGGAATTTTGCAAATACAAGTTTAGCCTTGATTTTGATAATTAATAGGCGGATGTCTGCTGAAGATGACTGCTAAATTTGAAGTGTACATGGTTTATAGGAGATCGTATTTGCAAGTCTTGAAAGTGTCTTTTCGAAATAGAGGAGTGATGCAACATCATTATTATTCTTATAACAAAGCCGTTAGAAAATGAGAAAGAAATTAAGATATCGAAGCAGGAAGACGTCTTGCATAATTTTATAAACTGCAACTTCCCATTGAGAACAAATTTGTCAAGAGCATGCAAGTAGAGGAAGCATGTTGCTTTCACGCATTGTTTGCCGTGTAGATAAAACCGCGGATAAAAAGAACTTTCGTTCATGAATAAATCATTAGTACAATAATGTGACACAGAAGAAATTAACTCTGTGCAGAGATTGATATTCTATTTTTAATATTTAACATTTAACATGTTATCTCTAACATTTAATATTTAATAACTAATATTCAATAGTT